TCCAACAGAGGCTCCTGTGTGTATTAAATACTCCACATTTGAAGCAGGATTGGGCGTAAAAGGGCGCTTTGTCTCCATCAAGTGTTTATTGTGTATACCTTGACATAGAGAAACCAATGCAGATGTCTGATTCTCATTAGAAGCGTGACAATCACCTGAGCGAATAAGATTTAATAATCTGTCTATGTACTCAAATGGACATCCATAACTGACTGTTTAATTCCTAGCATAAGTCATACATCCTCTAGTCATTAGAGAGATTCATGTGCTCTTTCTGTCTCCTGTAGGACTAGCTCACATTCCAGTGAAATGAGGATTGTGTTGTTACAAGCATTCGTTGGCAGAGAAATTACCATTTCTCGCTCATGGCTTGTTTTAGCGAGATAAGACACGGACTGGGAGTATTTCTTAAAAAGCTGCTTGCACACAGAAAAGACAAACAGTTAGGAGAGAAATGTGCATGCTGCTTTAGGTTATTACAATGAAGGTAAGCACTCTTGATTTTTCAACAGATACATTCCTGCATCATTATAGTGGACCTAGTATATTTTTAAAGCTTGGTGCTTTAAGTTTTACATTGACGCACATGATGAGCTTTAATTGTCAAGCTTATCAAATGCATTTTATTTTTTTTTTTTATTTAACTGTATGACACAAAATTATTAGGAAGAAAACTTCAGTTAACTTTGTTCTCAGTGTGTGTTCCTGCATGGGGCCTTCCTTGTCTCTCTGTTGTCTTCAGCTGTAATTACACAGTAAGTAACTGAAAACCTTGTTTAAAAGTGTCTAACATATGTATACATGCAAATTGTTTATGCATTTGTTATTTATTAATTTTTATTTTTATATTTTGTTTAGTCAATATATTTCATTTTCTTTTAAAAGTAAATGCATGCAGATTTAATGTTACTGTATATGCAACATACAGTGTGCATAAACAGAGGCCCCAAAAAAGTTTTTGGACACTGAAGACACACTTAAAAATGTCATTGCATTATATAACAACATAACAAAATGTCAAACTGAACATTTAATTGAAAGAATTTAAGGTTTTGTAGAAAGAATGTGGTAATACACCCTTGTGATTTTGAAGAGAACTGCCTTTAAAAGTCATTGTATTACATATAAAAAGTCATAGCAAAAACAATTGAGAAAAGCAAAGTCAGTTCTGAGAAATACATCAGCGTCATTTGTTTGCAGATGCCACTTTGGTATTTTGTTAAGTAATGTAAAATTATCCAAATACTTTTGTGGCCACTGTACATATACGGTATACCATATTTGATGTTTCTGAAGACATACTTTCATTGAGCTTGTTCCTGAATCAGTGCAGTGTCAGTGAGGTCCATCAGGTCTGTGTCGGAACCTGTGCACTGCCAGTGGGGACCCTGGTCCCCTGGAAGCTGGTCAGCCTGCGATGGCTGCTCCAAAACACAGGTGGGACGAGTTTTATGTTTTTGACCATTTTAACATTTATCTCACACAAAATAACTGCATACATTCTTGTGCACTGAATACATGTCCTAAAATGCTTGCAGTATCTGTATAAACCCTGTCTTGGTTTATATCATATTCTATTTTATCTACTGTATTTACTCCCTCTCAGCCATATTTTCAGGAAATATGGTCTCCATTTTTACTGCTACGCTGATGACACCCAGCTCTAACTGTTTCTCAGCTGTTTAGTTGGAATTAAGGATTGGCTTTCAGCTAACTTTTTAAAACTCAATATAGTGATAAAACCTTGTAGGCACAATACTCTGACCAGTTTTTTAGCATCCCTCCACCAACCACAGCCAAGAAAGTGGGGGGAATACTCTGGGGTCGGACCAAATACTGAGCTTTGAGCCCTCTCCTCAGACAGCGCGCCAAATACACAAACCATTTATTCTATCTGACTTATTTGTAAGTGTGAACTTGTGAATTGAGTGACTACACTGGCTTCTGCTTCTCACATTCAAGGTACTTCATAATCTCGCTCCTCATTACCTTACTGATTTTCGTTCTATGTATACCCCTTCACACACTCTCAAGTTCTTCACTATCACTTTCTCTTGTGTCACCATGTATGGAACTCTCTCTCCCTCGATATATTATTTTTATTACACTGACATGTCGGAGGCACTTTCTGGGGACATTACAGACACAGATCCGCTCCATTGCAGTCTACTCTCAGTTTGGTGGTCGGCCTTGCACTGGGAGCTCAACTCGCACACAATCCTGTATATCGACTAAGGTCTGTCCCCTAGAGGAGGGCTGTGGAGAACGGTTCAGATGCCAGTCCGGTATTTATTTTGATTAATTTTGCCTTTTTCCTGTTTAAAAGTCTTTACAAAGTTATTTGAGACATCTCTTTTTGCTTATCTCTCTTAAGGGAAATGTATCAGCCAAACTCTAGTATGCAATGGAGATCATGACTGTGAATATGGCTCAGATGAGCATAAATGTGACAGTAAAGAGATCTGTGACCTGCAAAAACCTCCACCAAACGTAGAGCTCACTGGTCAAGGGTAATGTAATGATATTTGTCATCTTCTTGATTCCATATCCAATACAACAATGCGTTTACATAAACACAGAGACACAACGCAATGACACTATTATTGTGTGTTTGCACTAGGTTTGATGCAGTCAGGAGAGAGGCTAGAGGAACAGTTATAAACACTAAGAGCTTTGGAGGACTGTGTCGAAAGACCTTCAGTGGAGACCATATGGACCTATATAGACTTCCCCAAAGTGTCCTCAGATACACTTTCCAGGCAATAGAATTTTCACAGTTTACTATACTAACATAAAAATGACTGATTAGATCCAAAATAAGAACATATGTTACCAATGCAAGAAAAAAAAATCTTGGGATCTCCAACAACAACAAAAAAAAAGGAAATCTTTTGTCACAGTTTCTACATTTGTTTTTTCCCAGGTCACAGCAAAAAGTGATTTTACTGATGAATCCTATAGCAGTTCTTGGTTCTACCTCAATCACAGAGAAAAACATGCAAAAACAACAGGCACAGATTACGGGCATGATGATTATGTCTTTCATGATGAGCTGTTTCAGTCACAGGTACTGTACTATGCTACAACATATTGACTATCTAACATAGACTTTCACATAACATTTTGTAAACGTAATATATGGGTGTGTTCCATATTTCGTGCTTTAGCCTTAGTTAATTATCTTTGGCCGAAGTACAGCAATGAACATGTGACGTGTTAAAGGAGTAGTTCTCTTTAAAAAAGCTTTTGCTGATAATTTACTCGCCTCCATGTCATCCAAGATATCCATGTCTTTCTTTCTTCAGTCGAAAAGAAATTAAGGTTTTTAATGAAAACATTCCAGGATTTCTCTCCATATAATGCACTTTACTGGCCACCAAACGGTTCAATATCCAAAAGACAGTTTCAGTGCAAATTGCAAACTGTTCAAAGGGCTTTAAACA